GGGCTGCCGGCCCCGAGCCGTGCCAGGTTCAGGCTCTGCTAGCTGGGTGCTGGCGGGCTTGCGCCTGGCACGGGCATCGTAGCCATCCCGTGTCCCTTTAAGGGGTCTGGGGCCGGGAGGGGGCAATAGAGTTTCCCTGGTGTTGGCCGGAGTGGCCACCAGGGAAAGCTGGGGAGGGCTAGCCTCCCACTAGTTCGAATTAAGGGGCTACACACCCCTTAATTCGAACTAGTAAGTTTGAACTAGGCTTAGTCCTCGTGCAATGAGGTTTACCTAGTTCGAACTAAGCGCTCCGCTAGTTCGAATTAAGTTCAAACTAGCGGAGCGCTAGTGTAGCGCCTATCAAAGTTAATTCGAACTAACATCCGTTAGTTCGAATTAACTTTGTAGTGTAGACATACCCCTACAGAGGCCACTAGTAAGCTATCACATTCTCCTGCTCTGCCTTCCAGGCTTGCACTGAAATGGTGATGCCCATGTGCACAGATGGGGTCAATGACATGTTTGAGCCGAGCAAATGGAACTTCCATGAGTTCTCTGAAGAATGCTTCAAACTGTGGAAAGTGAGGCCTCGCCCTTCCTGGATTCCTTCTGTGTATGGAGGGAAAAACATCAGTTCACACAGCAACATTATCTTCAGGTGAGCTTACTTCAGCCTCTGTAATGATCCCTTTCCACCAGCATAGGTTGCTGGTGGGGATAGAATCTGGGGCTTTGAGAACCAAAACCACAAACCTGCCACTTATTGTTTCACCTAATATGTAGCCATAGCCAGGAGCCCCTGGCACTCCTCAATTTCCTCCTCCGTCAGTGGCTGAATCAGGACGCCTGGGGCAGAGCAGCTGGGGTGCTGCCGGATTGGTCCTGAGCAGCAATGCGGGACCAACCCGGCAGCGCGGCTCTACCCCAGGGGTAGGCAAGAAAAGCCTGGTCTGCTGGGTGGGGGGCACCAGCTGCACCCCCCCCAGCAGACCAGGGAGACGGGGGTGGCAGGACCGCCCAAGTCCTCCACGGCTTTGCTCCGTCTCCCTGGTCTGCTGACCTGGGAGACGCGCTAGGGCTGTCCAAGGAAATGGTGTTTGAAGTCTGGCATTTCTACAGTGGCAGGATTGCACTTGTGGTGCTTTGCCAGTCCTTTATGTCAGTTGAGTTAGTGATTTGATGTATGTCTTTGAGTGGAGAAGCAGGGGGCATGTTCTGTTGGATAGCTTTATATTTTCATTTGTTTGCTTCTGAGATTTTCTGTAAATAAGCCATAGGAATGGTTTGTCCTATAAAAGCATCCGAATATATGATACCATGTTTGTTGGGTACTTGTATTTCTCTAGAGGCAATCCTGGAAATTACAGCCTGGTAAGACTTCAGTACCGGGCAAATTAGTTGAAACAATAGTAAAGAATAAAATTGTCAGGCACGTAGAAGAACATAATTTGTTGGACAAAAGTCAACATGGTTTCTGTAAAGGGAAATCATGTCTTACTAATCTATTAGAGTTCTTTGAAGGGGTTAACAAACATGCAGACAAGGGGGATCCAGTAGATATAGTATACTTGGATTTTCAGAAAGCCTTTGACAAGGTCCCTCACCAAAGGCTCTTGTGTAAATTACATGGCCATGGGATAAGAGGGAAGGTCCTTTCTTGGATTGAGAACTGGTTAAAAGACAGGAAACAAAGGGTAGGAATAAATGGTAAATTTTCAGATTGGAGAGGGGTAACTAGTGGTGTACCCCAAGGGTCAGTCCTGGGACCAATCCTTTTCAACTTATTCATAAATGATCTGGAGAAAGGGGTAAGCAGTGACGTAGTAAAGTTTGCAGATGATACCAAACTGTTTAGGATAGTCAAGACAGAAGCAGACTGTGAGGGACTCCAAGAAGATCTCACCAAACTGAGTGATTGGGCAACAAAATGGCAAATGAAATTTAATGTGGATAAGTGTAAAGTAATGCACATCGGGAAAAATAACCCCAACTATACGTACAGTATGATGGGGGCTAATTTGGCTACGACAAATCAGGAAAGAGATCTTGGAGTTATCGTGGACAGTTCTCTGAAAACTTCCACACAGTGTGCAGCGGCGGTCAAAAAGGCAAATAGGATGCTAGGAATTATTAGGAAAGGGATAGAAAATAAGACCCAGAACATCTTACTGCCCCTGTATAAAACTATGGTACGCCCACATCTTGAATACTGTGTACAGATGTGGTCTCCTCACCTCAAAAAAGATATTTTGGCCTTGGAAAGGGTTCAGAAAAGGGCAACTAAAATGATTAGGGGGGGGAATATGATAGAGGTATATAAAATCATGAGTGGTGTGGAGAGGGTGAATAAAGAAAAGTTATTTATTAGTTCCCATAATAGAAGAACTAAAGGACACCAAATGAAGTTAATGGGCAGCAGATTTAAAACTAATAAAAGAAAGTTCTTCACACAGCGCATAGTCAACCTGTGGAACTCCTTGCCAGAGGAGGCTGTGAAGGCTAGGACTATAACAGAGTTTAAAGAGAAGCTAGATAATTTCATGGAGGTTAGGTCCATAAAAGGCTATTAGCCAGGGGATAGAAATGGTGTCCCTGGCCTCTGTTTGTCAGAGGCTGGAGATGGATGGCATGAGACAAATCGCTTGATCATTGTCTTCGGTCCACCCCCTCTAGGGCACCTGGTGCTGGCCACTGTTGGCAGACAGGCTACTGGGCTAGATGGACCTTTGGTCTGACCCAGTATGGCCATTCTTATATTCTTTTACAGCCCATCTCTTAGTGTCTCTAATGTGTAGAATGATCCTTCTTTTAATACTAAAATGAGTGGAGTATAAATATAATTTGTAGTATAATCCCCAAACCCACAAACAGACCCCTGTTTCCTAACACGTGAGACAACTCTTTCAGCAAATGACTATTAATCATTTCTTAAGCTGTTCCTTAAGCTGTTCCTTAAGCAGCATTCTAGGTACCAAGGTTGCAATAGGCTTTCTAAAAATCTAGGTACCAAGGTCTTTTTTTAATGAGCTGGTGGTACCATGTGCTTTCCATTTATGACCAGTACCAATTACTGTTTTGCAGTTGGTACCTAGTATCAATTACTATTCTACACCTGGACCTATTACCAATTAGTGTCTTGCACTCTCAGCCCTGTTTGTTCCTAGTTCTGTGAGCAAGGGCCTCTAATCAGTCCTGCGCTAGATGGGCTTATGTTTTAGGCCTTCATCGTACTACAACCGTCATGTTCATTAATCACAAGCAAACAATTCCTTAAATTGAATGAACAATTTGTGGTTCTTGTTGTGTTTTTTCAACCTCTTTTCTTCCTTTTTTTCTACCATTAAATTCTTCACTTATTTTTTTTAAAGATCTGTGCTCACTGTATTTGTGGCTATGAAACAAGGTATATTTTAAAGAGCTAGGTGTTGGCTAGTCCATTTAATCCATTAGATATTAGGTTGTCAATTAATAAACACTTGTTTCCCACACATTTGGAACTTGTGTCCTTAGAGGAGTTCCAAATCTCTGTAGCGATTGCCTACAGCTGGCAATACCTGTTGTGCTATCATTCACATTGTTCAAGTTTCTTTAGAACAGAAACTTCTTTAAACAAATTTCAGAATTAGTCTTTGGGACTCAGTAAATAGCTGTGAATTTTAAAAATAAGGTGTCCTGGCTTGAGACAAGGATTATTCTCTGGATTTCAGCCTATTGTTTTTCTCTCATTTTTCTCTTGCTGTTTCTTCCCCAGCAGGGTATCTGCTCTAAAGAGTGAAACTCTGCTTTAAAGGAAAAATTTATTTAAATGATTGATTCAAAAAGCCCATTCAGTTTAGTTCCAACAAATTGTTACTTGTTTGTAATAAGAGTCCACAAAATTGTACAGTAAGATTCTGCTTTATAAATTGACAGATGAACAAACAAACATTTAAAGCATGTTTAAGTATTAATGCTAGCTCAGGGCATTTTAAATGCTTTGTACCACACGCTGAGCTGTTTCCCTTCTTTCCTTCAGACAGACATATTATAAATACTAAACATATGACTTTTTATCCTGAAGGGCCATAAAGTATCCCTACACCCGCCAGGGAGATGCAGCCGCACATAGAGTAAAATGCAACAGCTGTTTAACTGCATAACAACTCATACAACAGTTTTAGGACAGTGAGTGAAGCATACTATATTGAGAAGGAACTGTTGGGTTGATTTTTCTCCAGGAAGATTGGAATTTGGCCAGGGTACTAGAACTGATGTCTCCACTTGCACAAAAAAATGCCCTGAAATATATAAAAAACAAAAATGGTCTTGACTTCTGCTCTCTGCTTAGCAGCAGTGTCCTACCTAAAGTACCATGCTGGGGGCATTAGTTAGTGTTGACTCAAATCCACAGCACAACTTCTGTAGCTCTTTGGAGCTCTCCCATTCAACCCTCTCTAGCTTGTGAGCAGTACTGGAACCACTGCTGTTGTGGTATGACTCTCCGGGAGAGTGCACCTTCCTTACATCTTTGGTTTTGTGAGCTTGGTATTTGCAGTGACTATTTCACGCTCAGTTGTTTTCTACCAGTGAGCCTTATTGGAAGCTATTCAGTTGACATAGCATAGAAACCTTGCATATTGGTGGAAACCACAGTTTAATCCCATTAACACATGTGATTGTAGCGTTTTTGTTGTGAGTAGCAAATTTCAGAGCTGGGTGATGACATCAGACTATGAAGGCTCCTCCCAGCAGATTCTTCTGGTCTCTAGGGGGAGCTGAGGGTGAGAGAGATGGATGGGCCTGGTCTGAGAAAAGAGGTTGGGAACTTTCTCAATGAGCTGTGTCTTTAGGGTCAAGGCCCTTTAGGAAGTTCTGTTTGCACTGTCCATACTGGACGGTGATGTCAGGGAGAAAGAACTAATGATGGGGGTGGGAAATTGTAACTTTAGATTGGAAACTTGGTGTGGTTTTGTTTTGTTTTTTTGAAAGCCTCACTGGGATCCTTGTCAATGAAGATTTGCTTTGGAACTTGTTGCACAGGAAGCATTTATAACCAAGTAGTGAATGAAGGGGAATGCCTGACTCCTGAATTTTAGCGCACTTGGCTAAAAAGGAACATTTGCTTGACTTTACCCTCTTGTATTCTCAGTCTCTGTACATGTAAGGTGCTCAGCAAAGCACATAAGCTTAACTTTAAATCTGCGCTGAAGTAAATGAGACTATTCATAGGCTTAAAGTTAAGCACCTGCTTAAGTGCCTAGTGAATCAGAATCCAAGTACTCAGCAACTTCCAAGATAAAGCCCCTACTGAGAGAGCCCCTCAAGTGATATCAGTGTTGCCTGTGCCATCCCTTGACAGATTGGCCGGAACAGCCAGAATCTCCCATGAAAGCCAGAAGGAGTGTTGTTTTCCTACTGCAGGCCTTAATTTCCACATGACTGTGACCAAGAAATCCAAGTCCATGTACATTTTGAGTCTCTCAGCAACTCAACCTACTGTTGCTAAGGCACTGGACTGATGCAGGCGACCTTTTAAATCAAATGCATTTTGCTTATTGTGCAGCTCTCTGTGTGTGTTTGTTTTGCAAATACAGAATGTTGTTTTCCTCCTGTGCCATATTAAGATCTATTGAAACGAGAGGTACAGAGAGAGAAACAAGATTTTTTTGTATTTTTCCACTGAGGAAAAATGAACACTACGACTACAGTTCAAGCATAGTCAGTTTTTATTTGTAGTGTTTTAGGGTCAAAAGTTGGAGAGAGACGAATGCTTTGCAATCAACTAATATTTTTGTGAAACATGATGGCTGCATGACATTAACAGACGCCTAGACATCCGAGCCTGTAATGCACCAGATTTGGCTTAGGACAGAATATCGTGAAGGTGTTTAGAATATTCAGTGGCCTCTATGCTGTCCAAGCAATAGCACAGGATCTAAACTAATGTTTTTCTAGTTGCGTGATGACAGATATAATAGAAATGTCCTTGTGACCTAGGAAGAGAATCTGAAAAATTTAACTTAAAACTTGCATTCTAAATAACATAAAAGGACCCAGGGTTCTAATCCTTCTTGCAGCAGTTCCCCTGATTTAAATAGGAATGACTGAATAAGGATTAGCTACAGCCACTACCTGTGCATTTGTTTGGTGTGCTGTCCAACCTCACCTCTTTTCATCTGGAGAAAGGGCACTGGAGAAAACCTAGTAAAACAGAAGAGACAGGAAAAAAAGGTATCTTAGATTAGTGGATTAAGCTCAGGATTGTGACTCTTAAATGCTAATCCGGATTCTCCCACTAATTTGCTGTATGGACCTGATCCAAAACCAGTGGGAAAATTCCCATTGATTTTAGAGCTTTAGATTGTTGCCTATAGGGCTTGAATTTTCAGAAATGTCTACAGGATGTTATCTCCAACAGGGCACCCAAAATTCATGTCTACTCTGAAGAACTTGGATCATTCCTTGACTTTCTCCCTATCTATAAAGACAGGGAAGTTACTCCATTATTTTTTGCAGAAGAGACATTAAAATAAAGGCATAAATAAATGAATGGCTTGGTATCGAAAGTGCAGAGAGGAAAAGAGAAGATAGAAGTACATGTGTTGACATACCCCTGTGCTATATTCACTCTTACTTTGAATGGAAAAGGCAATCTGTGTTGAAAAGTTTACCATTTCAATGTGAATTTTCAAAAAAGACCCAGGAACTTAAAGTGAAGGGAGGCTACTTCACGTACTTCAGTGTTGCTGAATGCAGTAGAAAAACAGTCACGTTTTATCTCCGAAAGAGCTGGCAGAAATGGATCCCAAGGAGTTCACGTAAAAATCCTACTGTACCAGAACATGATGGATGCACTTACTCCCCACTGAGTGGTATCTTACTCTATAACCGTTCCCATTTGCTTAGGTAGGGCTGCTTATGGTGTTAGGTGGCATATCACAGTCTGATGCATACACTCAAAGTGCTTTAAATCCTAAGCTCCCTGTGTGAAAAACATCGCATAAGAGCATTAGCAGGACTCATTGTGCCAAGGTGGAGGGCGGGGGGAGTAAGCTTAACTCTCACCAGTTGTAATAGCAGCTGAGTCTAGTCCGTGCCTGGCAGGATTGTGTGGTACATTTGTAGCTCCTACAAATCTGAAGAAAATTTTCAAAATGTGGAGTGGATGGACCATGGGGAGACACGTGATCACCTCCCCTCTGGCCCTGTTAGCTGGGAAAGTTAATACAGCCTCCAATCCTGATCCAAAGTCCCCAGGAGCTGCCATCGTCTGGTGGGAGTCTATGAGCATGCAGGCCCTAGGGGAGTGGGGAGATAGTGCCATCTTGTCAATCCCAGGAGCTGACAGGAAGCCAGGGGGAAGGGCAAGTAAAGTCCCCTGTGGTAACCTTCACATGGGATTTTTTACTGAGTTGTCCTTAAGACACATTCCCTTCGGGTGGTGCTTTCACGTGGGGAGGGACAGTCTGGCCCCAGTGGGCTGAGTGCTGAAGAACATGCCAGAGCAGGGAGACTTTGTTGTAGGATTTTCACCTATCCTGAATACTGAGCCTCTGATCATAACAGTGACCCATAGCTTTATCACACAGGTACTGTTGCTCAGGATAATAACTGTAATCTATGGACTTTCCTTATAGCAATGGCGGCCTGGACCCGTGGTCTGGAGGTGGAGTGACTCAGAATATCACAGACTCTCTAATAGCAATTGTAATCCCAGAAGGCGCTCATCACTTGGACCTACGTGCCAGCAATCCTGATGACCCCAAATCTGTGCTGCAAGCCCGGGCCTTGGAAGTTCAGTACATGAAGCAATGGATTGAAAAGTCCAGGCATAAATACTAAAGTGGTACTGTAACAGGGGTGTTCATGGCTCAAAACTTTTTTCATTCCTGTTTGATTCATTCTCTTCCGTTCTTAGCGATATGTGTGTGTGCTGGCTCTCAGCACTGTCTGTGTGACTGAGGAGCAGTGGGGGTGGCTGCTAACTGGGAGTCTGCTCCAGTAGCAAACCTCAGTCAATAAAATGCATGGATTTGACTCACTCAGGGCGGCATGCTTTCCTATTCTGCTACTAAATGCCTCCTCCAGCCTCTTTGCAACATGCTTGTGTGGGGCCCAATTCCTGGAAGGCCACACACATCCTCACCAAATCAGTTCCCAAGTTGCTAGCAAAGTGTGAGCTTGACCAAATGCAGGGATCACTGAACTCCATGGCAAAGTTCTCCCTGATTTCAACTGGATCTCAGTATAGGGGCTCCTTTTCAGCAGGTGTAAATTGCCATAGCTCCAACAGGAGTGTCAGCTGAGATCTGCCCTAAAGCTTAACCTTATCAACTCAAACTGCACATATGCTGCCTTCCATCAGATGCAGACTAGTTAATACTATAACCTGGAGAATGAGAAACCAGATTTGTTCAGTTGATGAGTATAAGGAAAGCTGCTGAGTATTGCCTCCTATAGGCAAAATCTTGTCTTAAGAGACTGCTTGCAAGTTTCTCCAAGTTTTCTAGCAGAACGGTTATTGTTTCCAATCTCCAGGTAAAAACAAACCAGGTAGGGAGCTGAGTTTTGGTGTTCCCTCTGATTCAGACAGTTGTTGTCTCTGAGTTGGAGACTTAATGGGGATGTAAACCACTTTGATATGGTGAAGATTGGGGGCAAAGGAATTGTTTTAGTGTGGGAACAAAACCACATTAGGATGTGATTTCATGGACAGAAAGACCAGCCATATATTTTTCTTGGTTACAACGCTGCTGAAAACAAGTTCTCACGTGTGGTTGTTTCTGTTCTCCTCACCAAATAGGAGTGGCCTCTAAACACATTTTTGCTTTTTAATTCTCCAATTGCTTGTCTGTGCACCATTTGTTGTTTTTGTCCCTCCACCACTGCTTCCCTTAAGGCCGGGATACCAGCCGCTGTGGTGCTGCCGAAGAGAAATGTGGGTATTTTCTTCCTTCTTGTTGCTTTTTTTTCCAGATCAGCACTGGGAAACCTTCTTTAAATTCTTCTCCTGCAGAGGGAACCTGACACGCTTGCTGGCTAGATCTTAAGTGACAAATAATTGGGGCAGGACCTTGTTTTCTTTTCCTTTTCTGTATATTGATAAGATTCTGCATGGTCTGGTTGCCGCTGATGGTTCAATAAGGCCTTTTAAAAATTGTTTGCAGGGTAAACGCTTCAGAATGCAGCTAAACTATGGGGACAGCATTAACTCAAAGCGTGAGGCAGTGCTCAGCAGAGCAGGTGGGGGGGGCTTTCTGTAGAGCTTCCAAAAGAGAGAACTGCCCAATTCATGCAGAAACATATTTGACATTAATAAATGGCTGGGACAGTCCCCTCACTTTGCAGCTTTGGCTTTGTTCACACTGAAAGCCTTCTACCAAAAGGCCCCTTTTCTAAGCTAGCAGGACTAGCTCATTTTGAGTCAGAAAGTCTCAAGGCAACAAATGTACCCAAATGTCTCATAACATTCCAGTTTTGTTTGCATTTGCCAGCTTTAAGTCGTGTGCCTAAAATATACTCAAACCTCTTTAATCTGGCTGTGCCGGACTATGGAGTTTTTCCGACCATGGGTGTTTGCCATAATGAATGGTAAACAAAATCTATTGCTAAATCTTTTGTATATTCATATGATTATAGAGTACTATACATGGATAACATGTCATAAGATAAATCCTTAAGCCATTATATTTAAACTATTATTGGGAGTGCAGGGTCTGGGAGGGAAGGAGTATGCATGAGGGAATGGGAATGCAGGATCTGGGCATGAGGGGGACGGAGGTGAAGCACTTACTTAGCGCTCCACCCCTGGGGACATGTGGCTCTGTGCCTCACTACCACTCCCAAGCACTGCCCGCCCCACCACAACTTCCATTGGCTGTGGTTTGCGGCCAATGTGAGTGGCAGGAGAAAAGTCTCCAGACAAGAGCTTTGCTGTGCTGCCATTCCCCCAGCTGGGAAAGGGGGTAGCAGCAGTGCCTCTTTCTCTTCCCCCTTCCGGGCAGAGCATCTGGGCCAGATCCAGCCTGTGGTTTGCCTAGATCTGGTCCACGAAGCTCAGAGCTCCCACCCTTGCAGTGGGGAGCTGGGGCTCCAGCCATGCTGGGGCAAGAACCATGGGTGTTTCCAGATCACAGGCATCTGGATTAAGGAGGTTCAAGTGTACAACATTTCTTATTACTCCAGGCAGCCTTTCATATTTGCACATAATCCAGCATTTTCTAGGAACAACACAGATTTTACTATGAATCTTTACTTTTTTAACGCACTCCAGTAAGTCTGGTTCTCTCGTTGACAGAGCTCTTGGCATATCCTTGCTTTTGCTCCAGTATTCTAGGGAAGGTTGATTTGAACCTTTATGTTCAGGTTGAGCAGTCTGAATCTTTCATGCTCTGTCTTTAGCAGGTAATCACTTTGGAGCCTATAAAGAGTGAGACAAGAGAAGAATCCTACTACAAGGGGAAGATTTGACAAAAATCTGTCCGTTGTTAGTAATCTCCATTCAAATGGGTCATATTTCTAGCTTTATGATGTAAATGTGTCCTAATATCAATGTGTGCTCTTTACAATAAAATAGTGGCCTTAACTTTTTTGTTGTTTTACAATGTTTTAAACATTTTAGATCAAATAAAAGCTAACCACATTTCCTGTGTCCCCTGCCAAACTTGAAGACACAATCAATAGTATTTTAAGATGGCATCTTATTTATTCTTAATCTTCTTTATTGGAGGGCAAGGAAGGGAACTGACCACGTACATCTAAACATTAGGAATGCACAAACCACTCATCATCAATATTCCCTCTTGTTGTTATCCATGTGCAGAATATATTTTGTTTTGTGCACTGAGGCATTTGTGGATGTGTGTCACCAGTAGGAATAGATGCTGTTGGCTGAGGGTGCTGAGGGCACTCTGCTAATCAGTTGGGTGCATTTGCATATCTCCTGGGTGGCCGCCCGAGTGCTCATCTTACAGGGAACACTGCTCGGAACCAAGGAAAAAAAGGATAAGGGTCTAATCTATTTCCTTTGACCACAGGGGGAACTGGATCAGGTCTTAAGAATACAGAATTCATAAATTTATATAAAGAAAGATCTGTAAATAATAATGTTGTAGCCTGAGCTCATGCTGTACTACTGTAGTATCTCTAAGGGCTTGATTTCAATGCCCATTGAAGTCCCTAGGAGACTTCATGGGTTTTACCACTTTTCTTAGGTTTTTAACAAGGTGACCAGTTTTCTGTTCTGGCCTTCATCATAATAGTTGAAACACTAGGTCTATCTGTGTACTTATTTCCCTTAAATGATCTTTCAGACCTAGTCCCAGAATTTATGTGCATTAGGGAATGACCATCAACAAAGATCAGCTACCTCATTTTGAAGTGTAACTTTCCCTGCTTATGTCCGGCGCGTTAGACTATCAGGAGCCAGGATAGGGTTGTAACTTTATTTGGCCCACTGTATCATGATTAAACGATATTTCATCTTCCTTCAAGAAAATAATCCCAGATACACCACCTCAGTGTGTGTTGTGAATTCTTTGAAGTACATATTGCGTTTTTGATGGAAAATGCATAAAATAAAACAAATAATTGATATTTCTATATAAAGCACTGATGACGTGAATAAAAAGCCAGTAATTGTGAATCTTACAGTTAGAAGATTTTGAAATTGAAACCTGTATGACAAAAATATGCTGTAACAAGTATTAAAGATAAATAAATGTGAATTTCTGGAAGTTGTTGTTTCATTTTTAAAGTAAGTCAGTTGCTGGTATTAGACCAGTGGTTCTCAAATGTTGGTCTTCCTGCCTTGCACCCTCCCCCCTGCAAGGTTGGAGCACCAGCACTGGCTTCCCTCTGTGGGGTGGGGGTTGCCCCAAGCCTCCCTGGCAGATCCGGCTTGTGGGGAAAACATGGAGCCAGAAGTGGCTCCATGTGTTGCTGTTCCTGCCCTGCCCTCCACTGGCTGGGGAAATAGCAGCACATGGGCAAGCTGCCTAGTTGTTTTTCCTGCTGCTCCCATTGTCTGGAGTTGAAGCCAGTGGGAGCAGCAGGAGGCCGTGCTGGGGACACAATGCCTGAGAGTGACATGGGGAGTGAAAGCAATTGCCACCCCCCCCTCATGCCCAGACCCCACATCCCCACGCTGCTCCTGCACTGCCCCTGCCAAGACCCTGCACCCCTAGCCTGCTCCTGCATCCTCCCTTGCTCCTGTACCCTCCCTCCTGGCCACACTGAACCTTCCATTGCTCTTGTCCTCTCCCCCTGGTCAGACACCCAACACCTATCCTGCTCCTGCACCCTACCTCCCATACAGACCTCACACCCTCACCCCCTTCTTGTACCACACCTCCTGCCCAGACCTCACCCTCTCCTGTACCCCACTTCCTACCCAGATTCTGCACCCCCATCCCTATCCCACTCACTGGCAGCCCTGTTCCACACATTGAACCCCTCATTTTTGACCCCACCCCAGAGCCACAAAATCCACTAACCCCAGAAAGTAAATATGGCCTATGGGAAGCCCTGAATCTGTCATCATTGTCCTTCCTCTTCACCCTGTGGGGCTGGAGCCAGGAGTGGTCTGAGGCCAGCTGCGGCAGCTGGCGCCCTAGGAGGAAGGTGCAATCAGCGTCCCTGCCTGCACGGCCGTCAATGGCTGTGACATAATCACAGGGCGCCAGAACCAGCGGCACCCTAGGCAACTGCCTAGTTTGCCTAGGCTCATGGGCCACCTCTGGCTGGAGGACCAGAGTGAGGTGTCTTAGTTGGGGGCCGTATCAGTTAGGGTTGAGGAGGGGTTTTTTGTTTCTCACATGTGTGATCCCCAACCTAAAAAAGGTTCCCCACTCCTGCCATAAATAAAGAAAACATTTAAACCTTTTGTGTTAAACATTAACAAAGTAAAATATTAATTTATCAAACTTTATTTTAAATAAAGTTAAAGCGCTTAATCTGTTTAATAATTTAATATTTCCTTTCTTACTGATTAAATTAAACCATTCTCTCTAGCTGCAGCACTAGCAAAATGGCTCGGGCATATTTATGTAATTAATGGTAAGTTTCCATTAGCAACTGGTGGTCCATGGAAAGGTTTGCATTGAGCCAAGTGGGCCACGAGCCAAAAAATTTGAGAACCGCTGTATTAGAGGCTGAGGTCTGCCACAATTCTGTACGTTTTCTACTTGAAGCTTGAGCCAGAGATGGGGAAAGTGAGCTAAATAGACACTATCAAGTTTTCGCTAGTTGGTAGTATCCAGACAGCTCACACTGGCTGTTCAGATAAGATAAAGTTAAAACCGTGAACAGTTTTGAGGTTTTAATGGCTCTCAAGCTTAGTAGTAGGCAAATAACCCTTTCCCCGTAGGATGCTGGGTTGAATCTAGCCCAGATGAGTATTATTTTGAAAGTTACCATTTGATTGCTGTTCTTTGTTAGCCTCAGTCTAGTCTCCAATAGACAAATATCTGCTTACCTTGTCACATCCTCCGCTGCTGAGGGCCATGTAAGTGTATAGCTAGACAAGTGATAGAAATGTAGCCGTATTAGTCTGATGTAGCTGAAACAACATACAGGACTATGTAGCACTTTAAAGACTAACAAGATGGTTTATTAGGTGATGAGCTTTCGTGGGCCAGACCCACTTCCTCACATGAAATCTGAGATTTGATCTGAGGAAGTGGGTCTGGCCCACGAAAGCTCATCACCTAATAAACCATCTTGTTAGTCTTTAAAGTGCTACATAGTCCAGTATTTTGTTATAGCTAGACAAGCATTATGGAAAACTGGCATCTTTGGCATTGTCTGACAGTCCCAAAAGGTGAAGGTCAGATAGAACTAAACAGACTGAAATGCCACATCTCCCATAGGGTCATTCCTTACAGGCTGGGCTTAGGCTGTGGGTAGGAAATTTAAACAGCTTCTGTCTATAATGTACTGTGCTCATAGGAAACATTAACTACTTAGAAGACATAGTCTGTAGACTAAGATTTCCAAAGGAGTCTGTATTTCCATTTGAAAAAAAAATGTAGGGGTCCACTAACGAAAAAAGTTAGAAAACCATTGACGTAGGTCTGGAATACAGTCAAACATGCATTGTCAATGAGTTTACAAAAAACTCTAAACTCCAGTTTGAGAAGAAGCTATCCTGGTTGTGACACTCAGTAGCCTAAAGTAGCACCCTGGAACCCCGATATTCACCACTGTTGTATAATTGTGATTTGTACTAGGGAAGTAAAATCCGGTTTAATTAGTCAACCAGCTGAATGTAATGTTTAACCAGTTAACTGATTAAAGGGGGGATGGCAGGCTGGAGCCCCCCCACTGTGGATGGGCCGGGTCCCCCACCAATGGGCTGCTCCAGCTGGACTGGTGTGCCCCTTGTCTATGATGGGCCCCACAGCGGACAGGGAGCTGCTCCAGCCCCCTTCTGGTTATGCCCACCTGTTAAAAGTTGATACTTGCCAGTTAACTGGTTAACCATTCACATCCCTAATTTGTACAAAGTATACCTTGTGAGGTATCATTTATTAAAGTCTTAATCTGTTGAACACTAGTTTTCTGTTGGCTCATGGAGCCATGTGGATGACCATAGGTGTGCCGCTGACATGAAAGTAGAAATTGCCCCCAAATTAGAAACTAACATAACGACCATACTGGGTCAGACCAAAAGTCCATTTAGCCCACTATCTTGTCTGCCAACAGTTGCCAATACCAGATGCCCCAGAGGAAAGGGTTACAACAGGTAATCCTCATGTGATCCCTCCCCTGTCACCCACTTCCAGAAAAACAGACTAGGGATACCATTCCTACCCATCCTGGCTAATAGCCATTGATGGACCTAACCTCCACGAATCTTTTCAGCTCTTTTTTGATCCCTGTTAAAGTCCTAGCCTTCACCATATCCTGTGGCAAGGAGTTTCACAGGTTGACTATGCGCCAAGTGAAGAAAAACTTCCCTTTTCCTTGTTTTAAACCTGCTGCCTATTCATTTAATTTGGTGACTCCTTGTTCTTTTACTGTGGGAATAAGTAAATAACTTTTCCTTATCACTTTCCATACCAGTCATGATTTTATAGACCTCTGTCATATCCCCCCTTAGTCTCTTCTTTTCTAAGATGAAAAGTCCAAGTTTTTTTAATCTCTCTTCATATGGGATCCGTTCCAATCATTTTTGTTGCCCTTTTCTGCACCTTTTCCAATGCCAATATATCTTTTTTGAGACGAGGCGACCACATCTGTACGCAATATTCAAGATGTGGGCGTACCATGGTTTTATATAGAGGCAATAAGATATCCTTTGTCTTATTCTCTATCCCTTATTCCTAACCTTCTGTTTGCTTTTTTGATTGCTACTGCACACTAAGCGCATGTTTTCAGAGAACTACCCACAGTGACTCCAAGATCTCTCTCTTGAGTAGTTGTAGCTAAATTAGTTCCCATCATATTGTGTATATATAGTTGGCATTATGTTTTCCAATGTGCATTACTTTATATTTATCAACATGAAATTTAATTTGCCATTTTGTTGCCCAATCACTTAGTTTGGTGAGATCTTTTTGAAGCTCTTCACAGTCTGCTTTGGTCTTAACTATCTTGAGCAGTTTGGTATCATCTGCGAATTTTGCCACCTCACTTTTTACCCCGTTCTCTGATAATTTATAAATAAGTTGAATAGGATGGGTCCCAGGACAGACCTTTGGGGGACCTTACTAGTTCCCCCTCTGCACTCGGAAAACTTACCATTTATTCCTAACATTTATTTTCATTGCTGAGGGACTTTGTCAAAGGCTTTCTGGAAATCTAAGTACACTATATCCACTGGATGCCTCTTGTCCACATGTTTGTTGATCCTCTCAAAGAACTCTAGCAGTTTGGTAAGGCGTGATTTCTCTTTACAGAAACCATGTTGACTTTCCCCTAACAAATCATGTTCATCTATGTGTCTGACAATTTTATTCTTTACTATAGTATCAACTAATTTGCCTACTACTGACGTTAGACTTACCGGTCTGTAATTGCCAGAATCACCTCTAGAGCCCTTTTTAAATATTGGCATCATGTTAGCTATCTTCCAGTCATTAGCAACGGAAGCTGATTTAAAGACTAGGTTACAAACCACGGTTAATAGTTCCGCAATTTCCCATTTGAATTCTTTTAGAACTCTTGGGTGAATGCCATCTGGTCTTGGTGACGTGTTACTGTTAAGTTTATTAATTTATTCCAAAACCACCTCTAATGACACCTCAGTCTGGGACAATTCCTCGGATTTGTCACCTAAAAAGAGTGGCTCAGGTTTGGGAATTTCCCCAATATCCTTAGCCTTGAAGACTGAAACAAAGAATTCATTTAGCTTCTCTGCAATTACTTTATCATCTTTGAGTGATCCTTGAGAGCCCCACTGGTTGTTTATCCAGCTTCCTGCTTCTGACGTACTTAAAAAACATTTTGCTATTAATTTTTGAGTTTTTGGCTAGCTTTGGCAGGTTTTTAGAGGCTAGAATCCCTAAAATTCTTGACTCTCTGGTTCAGGAACATCCACGGTCTTGCAGGACTAGGGATATTGCTGGACCAGAGAGCCCCAGCTGGCCAGGTTTAGAAGTGGAGCCCAGGTTGGGCTGGCAGTGAGGAGAGACAGGCACTGCCAGCAGAGGGACAGGCACTGCCAGGAGTGCAGTCTCACCCTGGGCAGGGGCATAGCCCTGGCTGGGGCTGGTACTCAGGAGCAGGGCCAACAGCTGAGAAGAGGAGCCTTGACCTCTCTAGCCCAGCAAACTCCATGGTTTGGGGGCCGCTCAGGTCCCAAGAGTGCTGGAACAGGGAGATCCCACCTGTATTGCCATATGCATTATTGAACTATGTTGTGAGGATTGAAATGTCCACAGCTGGCCTTTCAGTTTAAGCAAAAGGGGGCCTGACAGCCTTAATTGCCCATCAAGAAAAGAATCCACTTTCCCAGAGACTCCTTAAAGAAGACATGTATGCAAACGAAACTGCTTGGCTAATGAGGGCTGCCTTACCCCTCCCCCGCCCCCGCTCCAGCACAGCAAGGATCTTGCTAGCAGCCGGAAGAAAGCAGAGTGATGACATCATTTGGCCTCTCTCCCCATCTCAACACTTGGGAAAACATTTGCAAGAAAAAGAACTTTAAAGTGAGGAAGTTTGGACCCAGGCAGAAATGTGGTCCAGAGTGTGTATGGAGGAATTGTAACCTGCGTGTACCGTTTGTTAGGGTGAGACATTGCTTGAATCAGATCTTGTTTAGTCTGTTAAAGTTTAGAATTTAGGCTACAGATTTATCTGTTTTCCTCCGGCAACCAAGTCTGATCTCTAATGCCTGTTCCTTACAATCATTTTAAATGGGTCATTCTGTAGTTAATAAGGCTACTTTACATCTTACCTAAAACAGCATACTTTGATACTGGGCTTGGGGGAATCTCAGCTCAGGTTACAAGGCTTGGTGCACGTCCACTTTCCTAGGCAGAAACGGTGAACTAAGTTATGAACGTACACTGGTCAGGTTTCTATCCAGAGCAAGATGGTACAGTTCTGAGGTCAAGACTGGGCAGTTGGCAAGGGAGTGAGGAGACTGGCTGGAGCCTCCTTGTTGATGGTACTTGAATGATCTTTCAGACATTCATAAAACTCAGGGTATGTCTACACTGCAGCATTTTCCCGGAAAAACTACACTTATGTCAACACTGCTATTGCATTCTTTTGACAAAAAGTTGAAAGAACGGAGGGGGTTTTCCAACTCTGGTAAACCTCTTTCTACAAGGAAGAAGCCTTTTTCCAAAAGAGCGCCTCCAGAAAAAGGCATGTGTGCAGAAGAGGCTTTTAAAAAAAACAAAAAACAAAAGAAAAGGCCTCCAGGAAATAACACAGGTGCCCAGTTGAACACTCGGTTCAAACTAATCACAACTCTATAGTTTCTGTCTCCTGCCAACTCTTAAAACTGCAGGAACCCTGGACAAGCCTTGTGGCAGGAAGCCGGCCCTGGGAGCAGCACCTGACCGCACGGCTCTCCCTGCCACAGGCATTGCCACCCATGGTCTAGCCACAAGACACCTGATACCCCTCTCTGGCCCTCACAGGGAGCACTATCAGGGCTCCCAGGACCTTTCCAGGGGTAACAAGCAGCGTGTGCCCTCCTGGTCCGGAGCAGAGATCCTGTCCCTCCTGGAGCTGTGGGGGAAGGAGGAGACCCTGCAGGATCTCTGCTCCCAGCGCCGAAACGCTGATATCGATGGGTGCATGGCTGAGGCCCTGGCGGACTGGGGATACCCCCTTCCCCTGGACCTTAGAACAGGTCCAGAGTAAAGTCAAAGAACTCCTCAAGGGCTATGCCTGGGCCAGGGAGTGCAGCTCTTGCTTCAGGGAAGGACCTCACTCCTTCCCCTATTACCAGGAGCTCCATCAGATCCTAGGGGGTGGGGAAACCTTTTCCCCACCCATAGTGGTGGACTCGGGGCTCGAAATGCCCATCGTCACCCGCCCAGAGCTCGCTGAGAAGGAGGAGGGACAGCAGGGACAGGATGAGGAGGACACGGCCAGCACCCCTTAATCTGGATGTGTCTCAGGTATCCTCTGATGGCGGGGAGGGTCATCAGGTGAATGTTCTCAGTTTTTCACACACACAGGGCGGGGGAGGTGGGCGCAGAGGAGCTGGGTGCGATCGTTGCTCGGCCTGCTCAGCCTGGACATCGTGCTGCAGTTGGTGCACGTTCAGCACCAGTGTGTGCCACGCAGCCTCAGGAGGCAGCTCCGGAGCACCTGCATGGGAGTTAGTCTATGGAAGTTGGGCATTAATTAGAACACAACAGACATCAAATCCTCCAGCAAATAGGAATGCAAGGAAGAAACTTCCGGCATGCCTTCCTGGGGCTGTGCTCAGAGATCTGAAGGTGAAACATTAGCACTTGTACTGTAAAGACAGCATTTGCCCCTGAAAGTGCTGGGCGAAACTTGTCGCACCCTGCCAAATGGACCTATGCCCTGCCCAGGCAAAGTTGGTAGGGAATAGGGGGTCCCGCTGCTGCCTGACACAGTTCACTTAGGTCCAGAGGGATGGGGCCCACAGCAGGCCATCTGATCACTTGTGGAGTTAGACACTGTCAATATGAGTAAGAATATCAGAATCTGGCAGCAAGAAAGGGCATGTTACCACCCCAGTGTTCAGGCTCAAGAAGGACATAAAGATCTCCTGCCTCTAAGCATCCTGGCAGCTATGTCTTATCTCCAGCTTCTGTTTCCTAGGCAAGAGAAGAGAGAAGAGGATAGATGCTGATGGAGTGAGTGTACTGCTCTGGGCAGAGAACCAAGAGTCTTGCTGTCCTGGCTTTCCCGTCACCCTCTGCCCTAGTTCTTGTCACGCAGAGAGCAAGGCAGAAGCCCAGTGTGCAAACAATACAATATTTATTGGGGTTAGTTTCCAGTAAATATGTGTCCTGTAACTTTGACACCACAGAGCCATGTCTTTTCCAGTGTGCCCAGCAGGCATAATTATACCCGAAATGCATGCCCACAGTCTACGCCTTACAACTTATGAACGTGTTCGTTTTGGCGGCTGTCGGACTGGGGTCTTCATTTCCACCCCCACCTTTTTGTACCCCATGGGAGAGTTAAGGTGTGTAGTTGTACTCAGTCAGGGGCAGGCATTTCTCTGGTGTTTTAGTATTTTACTTCCCTCTCCCTCCTCAATCCTGCCTTGTCCCCCACAACTGGTTGCTTGACCTTGCGTTGAAATAAGGAACGGAGACCTTCTTCAAGTGTGTTCTCATATATTACAATCCTACCATGCCCGGTAACACTTTAACTGCTCTTATCTATTCCCATTATACTAACAAACTCCGGGGCAAGATATGTGTGGAGGGGGCCGGGTGCCTAGACCACAGGGTGAAAACACCAGGGGCCCTGTGAGACCTCGCTACTGTGACTACCATGAATGGAAGGTAAGACTGCCCCAAACTTACGTCAGTCAAAAAGTTTGAAATTGGCCCCTAACAAATAAATTGGCCAAAATCTGGAAGAGGTAGGCAACCAGCCTGCAGCCCCATCCCTCAGAGCCTCACAGAGTAGCGCTCTGGTGCTCTGGAGGTGATGCAAAAGGGTCTGGAGCACCACCCGCCGCCGCGGTTACTGTGGCAACTGTGGTAGCTGGGGCCCTTTGAATTACCGAGCCCAGGGGCAACTGGCCCCTTTCCCATCCATCAGTGGGCTTGGCCATCTTTGACCTAAAATACTTTTCTATATTTGGATGCTTTGTGAAAATCCAACCACGTATGTTCCAAAATATGAGCCGAGGATCTTAAGTGTAGGCTTTTGAAATTTTGGCCAATTTATTTGGGTATGGACCATTCTCAAACTCTTTGACCGAAGTATGTTTGGGGCAGTCTCATCCTCCGTTCATGTTAGTCAAAGTGAAGTGGAGCTAGGTCTCATGTGGCCCCCAGTGTTTTCATTGTGTGGGCTAGACCTGCTCTGAGCAGGCTCATGTGATGCTGTGGTAGAAATGTCCATGCCCGGGCTTCCGTAGAGATCTCACCTTTGCACATTAGTGATGCAGTTATCAAAGCGAGGCTTTTAGAGACAAACTGTCTCGTGAGGACAAGGACAGGTAGGTAATGGGTGTGCTGGGACGGCTGCACGTTGCACTAATTGTTAGAGCTGGCTGGGTATCGGAATTCCTGTTCTATGGGGAATTCTGAACTAAAAAAAAAATTGTTTAGAAAAATCCCGATTTCCCATGGGCTGAGTCTGCTGAAATGACATGTACAAAAAGCTAAAGCACCGCTGTGTCTATGCATTTTTTAAACATTTCAGCTCACTGGGGAGGGGATGTGTGTAGGGGGGTGGTAGTGGGAACTCACAGTTCACCAGGCAGCTTGAGCCTGAGACTTTGGGTACTGGGAATACCAGGGCTTCTGGGAGGCATAGGATCCCAGGCTAAGAAGTCCTTGTTCTGCAACAATTTGGGTAGCTGGAAGTCTAGGTTTTTCATGGTGACAATGAGCAGGGAAACTGGAGCGGGAAATAATTTTCTGCCTCCTTTTCCCTCCCCTCTTTCCACTCTCACTAAAAAATGAATTTTTCTAGAAGAAAATCATTTGAATAGAAAGTTCTCAACAACCAGCTGCACTAATCAGAATAATTAATTTCCTGATAATTTCCACTACATGCATCTGACGAAGTGGGTCTTTGCCCACGAAAGCTTATGCTCCTACACTTCAGTTAGTCTATAAGGTGCCACAGGACTCCTTGCCGCCTTTGCAGATTCAGACTAACACAGCTACCCCTCTGATACTAATCAGAATAGCGTTGCATTGCGTCTGTGTGTTACAGTATGTTGCTGCTCATCAGGCACTTTGGGGCAAGCGCTGACTTCTTGTGATATGTACGCACCCTGCTATATGCAAGAGGGCATCAACATTGGATTGGGTGTTAAGCACTAGGCTACTGCAAGACAAAAATTACAGAAAAGGCTAGCCCATGTTTCTCTAATAGGGTTGTAACCTATATTAGCCCTCATAGGCAAGAGCAACGTATGTTGTAAATTGGTTAAGCTGAAGTCAGGACTCACAAATCTGTTGGAACAGGATGACTCAGCTGGGGTAAATCAGCATGTGGTGTGGACAGGGTTCTGGGTTCCCATTTACGTGACTTTAGGCCTCTGTGTGTCATACCGGGTGTCACCTCAGTGGGGAGCAAGTGCTCCTCAGGTTCTGCCCCACTGTTCTGTCATCCGTAACTTCCCAGAGCAGCCTTTCCAAGGCAGCTCTTCCATCCTGAGCTGGGATAGAGGCGGGGCTGAGTGCAATGCTGCCCAGGACTCGGCTGCTTTTCCCTTTGCTGATAATTTGCAAAATCTTTTAGTTCAATCTCCTGAGTTTAGAAAGTAGATGCAGAGAAACACTGAGACAGGGAATAGCAAATCCCTTCCGTTTGGCTTGTTGTTTTCTAATGTATGTGACCTCTCTGGGTGGTTTAAGCGGTTTAGGTACTTTCTATAAAAGGGATCTTTTAATGACAAAACTAATGTGATTATCTTAGTGAGTGTGAGAGGGGTATTCAAGGCTTAAAGAAAATCTGTTAGAATAGCTGAATGTATCTGCTTAATCCTTTCTCTAATGTGGGGGGACAATGCGCTGGGAAGCAATTGAGCTTTCTTTCTTAGAGTAAATGCCTGGTCTCCAGAGGTAGGAACTGTTTGCAGCTTTTTAGAGCCTTACGTTTCACCTTCTAGAGAATACAAAGGCATTGGAGAGAGGGGGAGTGCTTTCACAGGCCAAGTGTGGAGGCTGCTTTGGGCTAATTCTGGCAAGCTGTTGAGCACCCTCAGTTCCCCTGGATTACATCAAGAAGAGAGGAAACTCAGCATCTCACAGGATACAGCCACTGTGGCTGAAGAAACCCTTGGAGTGTTCTTCCCCCCACATCAGGCAGAAGAAAATGTATTAACACTTTCAAAAAAGGAATA